TATCAAAGTTGCAGGTCTGTTCTCTCAACTCGGGACGATGTGGGAAGAGGACATTCTGGTAGATTTGTTCAATAGCAGGGATGTGAGGTTAATACGGCAAATTCCTTTGAGTTTAAGGTCTGTCCCGGACAAGATTATTTGGAAATGGGAGTTGGATGGAAAATTCTCTGTTCGCAGCTGCTACAGGAAACTGAGAGGCAAAGTCGAATCAACTCACTGGAGGGGATGGACGAATATGTGGAACTGGAATGTACCACCCAAGATGAAAACTCTCTTTTGGCAGATCTGTAACAATTGTTTACCGACAAGGGAGAATCTGAGGAAACGAAGGGTAGATTGTCCAGGGTATTGCGGGCTGTGCGAGGCGAGGGAGGAATCTGTCTTGCATCTGTTCGTGGAGTGTCTGTAGCGCAAGATGCTTGGCGTTTGGTTGGCTGGTCGCTGTCTGAGGTCTGGTTTACTTCTTTTTTGGAATGGCTTGAGCATGTGTTTCAGACCAGGAGGGATGAGGAGTTGATGGTTGTTGTTTGGGGCTGCTGGGGATTATGGACTGAGCGTAATAAAAGGATATGGTAGGGGGTTTCTTCTGCTCCTAGTCAATTTATGCGTCGGGCAAAAGCCTTCCTTGAAGGCTGGAGATCGGCACAACTTCCTGGAAGCAAAGGAGGCTCAAGTCTGGCGGCGGGCTGTTCTCGCTGGTGTAAACCAGCAGCAGGCTGGGTGAAGGTGAATACCGATGCCTCAATTGATAATCTGTCTTGTAGTTTGGGTTGGGTGGTGCGGGATGAAGCAGGGGAGTTCATGGCTGGTGGATCCAAACTGTGGGCAGGTTTCTGCACTCCGTTGGAAGCCGAAATATTAAGTATAAGGGAGGCTTTGAGCTGGCTTAAAGAGCAACCTTGGGAGTTCGTTGAGATAGAGTCAGACTCATTATTGGCTATTAATGAAATCAAGAATGGTTCCAGCCTATCGAGTATTGGTTTGTTAGCGGAGGATGTTCGGGTGTTAAGCTCGGAGATTGCTAATATTTCATTTTCCCATGTTAGGCGTTCAGCGAATTTAGTCGCTCATATCTTAGCTAGAGTGGCGGGTTCTTTGTCTATTAGCCATATTTGGTCGATTTTTCCTCCGGGTTGTATTTTGAACGCTTTGTCTTTTGATCTCATTAATGCTAATTAAGTTCATTTCTGTCAAAAAAAAAAAAAAAAAAATTCTGGAACACTGTGGGTCCTACAATCAAGGACTTTGTGAATACAGTACTACGGACGGGGCATTTTCCAAAGAGAATCCTCAAATCTTACATGGTTCTGATCCCTAAAAATGAGAATCCGGAAGATGCTAGCAACTTTCGACCCATTGCCCTTCTTAATGTCATTTACAAGGTGGTTTCGAAGCTCCTGGTTAATCGTATGAGACTTTGGATTGGAAACATCATCGGTCCTTTCCAGAGTAGCTTCCTTCCCGGACGAAGTACAACAGACAATATTGTCCTTACCCAGGAAATTATTCATTCCCTCAATGCAAAAAAAGGGAAAAAAGGTGGGATGGCTATGAAGCTCGATCTCCAAAAAGCTTACGACTGCTTGAGTTGGCAGTTTCTGGAGACGACTTTGGATGATTTTGGTTTCCCGACTTCTTTTAAGAATTTAGTTATGAACTCAATCAAACATATGCAAATTGGAATTATCTGGAATGGGGGTGTGATGCAGGAAATTCAGCCTAAGAGAGGATTACGCCAAGGAGACCCGCTATCACCATACCTTTTCATCCTTGCAATGGAGCGTTTATCTCATTTTATTTGTAAGGAAGTGGAGGCTAAGCGATGGAACCAAATCAAAGTGGGTAAACCCGGGGTTGGCATATCACATCTCTTCTTTGCAGATGATCTACTGATGTTCGGAGAAGCTTCGAGGCATGATGATACACTTCAGAAATTTTCGAAAGTCTTGGGCTTGATGATTAATAAGAATAAATCCAGGATATTCTTTTCACCAAATCTGGATGGAGAGATGACAAAAAGACTCCAGGATATCATTGGCATCAAGAGTACAAATGATCTGGGAAATTATCTAGGCACACCTATTATACACGGTCGAAAATCTAAAAATAAGTTCTCTTATATTTTAGACCGTGTGAAAAAAAGTTGTCCTCTTGGAAGGAAAAGTCCCTCAATTTGGCAGGACGGAAAACACTGATCCAAGCAGTCACAACATCAATCCCACAATATGTGATGCAAAGTGTGCTTCTGCCCATAAGCATTTGTGATAACATTGACAAAGCGAATAGAGATTTTCTCTGGGGTAGTCATGACACAACAAGGAAAGTTCACTTGGTGAGTTGGGATGAAGTTTGTCAACCAAAAGATTGGGGGGGCTGGGATTGAGAAGGGCAAGAGATAATAATTTGGCTTTGATCGCTAAATTGGGATGGGAAATCAATATGGACAGTGACAAGTTATGGGTGAAAGTTATGAAAGCCAAATACATAAAAAATTCTTCCTTTTGGGAGGTGGACAAAAAGAATGGTTCATCCCAGATATGGAGAGATATTCTTAAGGGCCGAGAACTACTTAAGAGAGGGTTTGGTTGGCAGGTAAGCACCGGGGAAAACATATCCTTTTGGTTTGATCATTGGGTAGGGGAGAGGCCTTTGCATGAGGATATTGGATCACCACTTCCCGAAACTGCAACAATGGTCAAAGTGGCAGAATTTATAACTTGTGAGAGGAGCTGGGACACTCAGAAATTGGAAAGTTTAATCCCAGAAGAAGTCGTCGAATCTGTGAGAGCTATTCCCCTACCCATAGATGAAGGACTACAAGATCAACACTCATGGAGGCTCTCCAATTCAGGAGCATTCACTGTAAAGTCTGCATATGAGGCGGGTTTATAGAAGCCACATAATACAGATTTGGGTTGGATTTGGAAAATTGGGGCATCGGAAAAAGTCCGTTGTTTTCTATGGTTAGCAGTTAAAAATAAGGTTCTTACTAATTCGGAAAGACGCAAAAGACAGCTTACGGAGGATCACTTTTGCCCCATCTGCAATATGGAGGAGGAGACAGTGTTGCATCTGCTGCGGGACTGCATTTTTGCAGCAAGTTGCTGGAGAAGCCTATCAAATGGGTGAGACTATACATGGGGCTATACTTGGTCTGCTTTTGACTGGGTGAGTAGATATTGCAAAAAGGAGCGACCTATGGTGGAAGGGCATCCGCAGGCTACCCAATTCGCATACATGGTTTGGAATATTTGGAAAGGGAGAAATGCATGGGTGTTTGAAGGGATCCTTCCGAACGTGGATAGAGTCTCTTTCTTGGCCAAAGCCCAAGCAGCTGAATATACAATGACGGTTGTGAGAAGCGAATGCTGGAAGGTTAATAAAGCTAGAGTAGTAAAATGGCTCCCACCTCCGCTGGGACAAGTGAAATTGAATTGTGATGGGTCTTGCAGGGGGGCTGGAGGGAATGCTGGGGCAGGTGGGATTATAAGAAACCATAGAGGTGAATGGATTATCGGTTTCACTTTAAACATTGGCAAAACAGAAAGTTTTAATGCAGAATTAAGGGGGCTAAGGACGGGCCTTCTCATGGCAAGGGAATTTGGACATCATAGGGTCATTGTGGAGGTAGACTCAGAAAGCATGATTAATGCGGTTAAAAAGAACCAGGAGGACTGCAGAACAACTATTGGGGTACTGATTCGGGACTGCAGGAGACTACTTGAAGAGGATAGATTTATCCGCCTCCAACACACTTTACGTGAAGGTAATAAATGTGCAGATAGGCTAGCCAATGCAGCCTATGAATCCAACAAGGGACTGACGATTCTCAACACATCTCCGGAGTGGTTGAAACAACATCTATGGGAGGATGCAAATGGCCTAGAAAGTATTAGATATTAATTTTGCTTTGTTTTATTCCGATGTATAAAAAAAAGGATCGTTCAAGTCGAAAAGCACAACATGATGTAAATTATACACCATGCATGTAAAAGCATTACAAATTTACGGTTCATCCCAAGAAAATCAATAGTCAGATCACCGAAATCGGATAAAGTATATAAAAACTAATATTCATAAGTATGAATAGCCAAATCTTATTAATTAAGTAAAACAGTAAAAGAAAATTTGATTATATATAGAGTGATGCATTGATAATCACCTTGTCCTTTTAATAACTCAAAAAATCAATCATAAATAATAGCACAAATATCAGTCTCCCAAATCACCACTAGTTCAAATCTAAATGAACTAATTTATCTTAATATTTCATTTAAAATAGATATATAAACAAGTTAAGGTTTTTTGCAAATACATTACTTTTTTAACCTATCCAAATATAATAGTTATCACTATAAAATATGGATAAAAACATGACTAATATTATTACAAATATATAGAAAAATGTCAGGTGTACCCTATTTTGTGTACCCAATTCGCACCCTTGTCTGTCTACGCAAATAGAATTGTATCCACCGTTTTTATTATAATTTTACATTAAGAATTATTTCTTATTGGTATATTACATTCATTTTAGATTTGTAGACCGTTATTGAGCTCGACTTTTCAGTCCGAGTATGTTTGTCCAGGCTGCTGATTAAGGGGTGTTTGGATGTGATTCTCAAAATCGTTTCTGCTCTTTCAAGGAGCAGAAGAAGCTGGAGTGTTTGGGTGAAATTCCAGAAGCATATCTGGAGCTCTAATTTACTCTCGGAATCAGTTTTTTTTAGAAGTAAGGAGGTACCAGATTCTGAAAACTGAATCTGATTCTGCTTTTAAAAAAATAGTAGAATCAAATCCAAACACTCCTAAAAAGAAAAGACAAACTGAATCCGTCAAACGTTAATATCAGGCCGGTCTAGGTCCGGTTTGGGTAAATCATTTCGGGTTTTCCCACCTAATAACGGTAAATAAGAAAGAAACTACCGCATTCGGATTTCCGGACGTAACAGGAAAGAAGCAAGGAATTACGGAATAGAAAAATGACCGGCCGGACTGACCTGGACGTCGAATTCAACGAAATCGAGACCAAGTTTTCCGGCGTTGAGGAAAGAACGGATTGTATTCTCTCTGATAGCCTTCATTCTCCGATCGGACAACTCCAGCATATTCATCCCATTTCCTCTGTGACCCATCACCACAAACCTCTTCTCCTTCTCCTTCCACATCTTCACGCCTCTTCTTCCATCTCCAACTCCATTTTCTCCGCCGCCTGATGATAAGATCCAAAATAAAAATTAAAAACCGATTATATATTGTTCCCAACAATGCAAGAAAAATGACCAATTAAATCCAACAGATCTGCAAAGATGTATATATTTCCAGAAAATACAGACCGACCTTGGGCAGAAGTGGGGAGGCAGAACTTAGCTGCGTCATTTTCTGGCACATTATCAAGAAGATGCATTTCTGAAACAGGGACAGCCCTTACAGCCATTTTTATGCTTCTTGCAAGGAATTGTAAGAAATTAAAACACCATCCATAAAAAATCGATCATCAGGAAGTTATTTTATATGCATACATCATCCATATATATACACCATATATATAAAATCAGGCTGATAATACTATGATTAGGATATACAATAATCATTCTGGATCCATCCTGTAGGAAGGTTAAGAGCTATAATGGCTCATTTAAAAACAATAAGGAATAATAAATGTCGGATGCAAATTGCAGAAGGAAGATAAAGATTGAACCTTGGTCGATCCCATGACGTGGATACAGCTAATCCTCTGTCTGAAAATTTATCTGCTCTGGATTTTTCTTTCAAGTTCTTCACGTATGCAGGAAGGTGAAAGATGTACGGTTGTGTCATCAATTACGCCAGAAATGCAAGTTCGGACAGTGGGTTCCACTTCATGCCGTGTCATCAAATTTTAATCACATATTCATTGAACGGTTGTGTAATTATGAGCGGGTTTCGTAAGCCGTGTTTGGGGCTTAATTATGATATTTATGAATTTATGTTTTACTAGGTGATTTTTTTTTTTGAAAGAAGTTTTACAGGATGTTTAAATTTTGATTTCATGGCTGAATAATGTGGCTGAATAATGTAATGATAAAAAGTAAGATCGAAGTAAATTAGTTGAATTTGATGTGAAAGAATACTTTAGTTTTTTTAATACAAGTAAAATATATTGATGGTATCATGGACTTGGACCATGACCCAATTGCGTGATCCAGCCCTTAACAGGATCAGCCTAATTGATAGGATTAGCCAATAACGGGATCAAGCCCTAAACAGGATTAAGATAATGAGCCGCTGGGCCTAAATACGAATTGGGCCCACAATAAGAACCCACAACTAGGCCAGGCTGGACAGCAGACCTCGAACCTAGGCGGTGTTCTAGTGAGGTTGGGATATTCATAGGGCATGTGGCAGGCTGTCGGATGAGTATAGCTATTTGGCAGTAAGCAAGACTCAACGGGAAAACGTGGACTTAAAGGGACAGTCATTGCACAACGTCCAAGACATTACAGGAGACATATTCGACGAGAATATGTAATTAATAGCATTTATTGTATCAGTTTCCTCCTGAAATAAATATTTCCTGTACTATGCATTCCCTACCAGGGAGTTCGATCGGTCAATTGGTTCTCCTGAATAATAATACACTGCCTTACACTGCCCATATTGTTCATATCTTTCATATCTCTCGTAGTTGGATTAAACTCTTACATGTCAGTGCATTATTAATAGGAAAAATAAGTTTTTTTTATAAATCCGTACGTACAATTTTTGTGTAATTTTCATCATAAATCATTCCGAAATATTCTCTTAATGCTATAGTACATGTGTAAAGTTGTGCACATCTCAATATGTGACTTCCTTACCCCATCCCTTATTCGATTTAGACGAGTGTTTGTGAAATGTTGTTTTACTGTTGTGATCGATGTTGTTAGATATTCAATTTGACAATTTTTTTTAAACACTTTTAGAAGCCATTTGGCAACACAGTTTTTCGGTTTATCAGGCTTATCAGCCAGCTTTTTCACCAAACACGTAACTTTTGCTTTCGTGTACTGAATTGTGTAATAAGCAAAAAAAGTAAGGTTGGAGTTACTTTTCTGGCTATATTGGCTGAAGTTATTGTAGATGATCATTTTAGCTGTTTTTACATATAATTTTTTCTTTATTTTTTTAATAAAATATATTTTAAATTTTTTTTTCTTGAATCAGCAAAATCAGCCAATACAGCCAATTCAACCAGAACTTCACAGAATCAGCCAAATCAGCCGATTTTCATGCTACCAAACGGGCTCTTAGCTATTTCTCCCTAAGTTTTAATTCCCTTACGCAGACCCTTATGTGCTCATCTCCTCTTTTGACAGCCATCATGCTACATGAACTTTAACCTTACAAGTTTAATGTTTTGTTTTTCATCTTAATAATTGTTAATATCCGGAGTTTTATCATTGTTGGGTTAATTGGCCGATATAGGAACGACCCAATAACCCTTTGCAAGATAACCATCGAGGCCCAATCGGGGTATGACCCAACAAGGAAACCGGGAAGACGTTCGGCCACCTAAGGAAGACGCTCGGTGTCCCCATCCTTGGCCAAATGGAGCTAGACAAAGATTCAGGCCCCCCGGGAGAACAATCTTCGTAGGCCGAGCGGGTCCCATCATCGTGACCATTCGGTTCCAGAGCCCAAGATCTAGCAGACGCTCGTCCGGACGCATTGGGGGAAAACTAAGATATTGGCGAGAAACGCATTTAATGCAATAGATTTGGTGTGGTTGGGAAGCTAACCACTCACAATCCTCCACATCATCGACATCACCTACCCCTTGGTAGTATAAATAGTACGTAGTATCATTTATTTCATTATAAAGAGTTGGTAACTTATACTCCATAACAATAGCAATTACGGAAATTGTCCTAAATAGGACTAAAAAGTTCCTAAAATGCACAAATAGGACTACTATTTTTAAAATTCCCTAAATAGGACTAAACATTGATTTTCTACCCTAAATACCCCTAAGAGTATTAATTCATAATGAAATGCTTTAATTCATAATAAAATCACAAAAAACGTAAAAAATATTTAAAAAAATGTAAAAAAATTATAAAAATTTTTTATAAAACATTTATAAAATAAAAAATTTAATTTTTTATTTTTTTAATTTTTTTTAAAAAAATAATAAAAAATAGTAAAAACCCATAAAAAATGAAAAAATTATGGATACCTTTCTCACCGCCTCCCGCCGCCTCCCAGCACCACCACCTCCGATTGGTGAAATTTCTTCCACTTTTGGTAAAAAAAATGCCATATTTTTCTGAAAATGTCAAAATTATTTAATTACTCTTCAATATGCCAACATTGAAGTGTGTTGTGATAGACTCTTATTATTATTGAATAAGACATGGCAGACTTACTAGATATCTCTTCTTGCTTGTCATTTATTGTTTGTGCTTACTCATCACCTATAACTCACTAAATACTCCACTCGAAACCCAAAGGAAGGTGTTGGGCCTTTGGAGTTGAAGGAATAAACCTCCTCATAAAAATTTAACCAAGGAGTAACAACAATAACTTAAAATCTCAATATACCAAATAGTTGGTGACATAATGAATTGGACAGAAATTAGCACTGATGTTAGCAAATCTGTGTCAAAAGATCTGAGTGAGTTCCATTGTTTTTTAATAGTTTTTGTGCATATTGTTAGTTTAATTTCTTGTTAGTAACTTTTCGTAATGTGCTCATTTTTATTGAGAAAAAGGGTGTACTTCATAATTTACCTAAGAGGTAGGAACTCCTAGGTCACTTGATTCATGTATGTCAATGCAGCGAGCTGGCGTTCTTCCGGGGCAAGTGAAAATCAGATTTACTGGTCGTATATATCAAAGCTATTAGTTTGTACCTATTTTTACGCTTTGATTTCACAACTGCTATTAGCCTGTTAGATTATACACTTAAATTAAATAGTAGATATTGATTCATTAAAGATTGCTATTTTTTTAAAGGATTAATAAAGATTGCTAATTAACTTGTTTTGCTTTTAATAGATTGCAATTATTATTATTATTATTATTATTATTATTATTATTATTATTGTTATTATTATTATTATTATTATTTCAGGATTGAATGTCAAGAAAACGCAGAGTCGTATTCATGAAAGCATTTAAATGAAATTTATAATGTGTTAATATGTTATGTATATATACTTTGTCAACTTTCTTTATTAAGTAAAGAATTTGTAGTTTCACTTAATTCCTTTTCCTTTATACAAATCCCAACCACACAATTACTCTTTTAATTATCTATGTGGGTCAAACTTGACAAAGTTTTATGTGACGGATGAAGTATTTTCTTCGTCTGACAATTCCTTAATGTACGTTGGTTACTAATTTAAAGCTAAATACATTCGTAGTTTCTTAGTTAAAAGTTAACTAAGACGGGTGAGGCATGGGCCTCAGGGCCCCAAAAACGTTACTACCTCCATCCCCCTAAGTTTGGGACGAGAGAAGGTGTCACGGTTATTAATAAACGTGAGTTTATGTGGTTCATATTGAATTGATAAAGTAAGAATAAAGTAGAAATGATTTAGAACCACACAAACTTTACCAAATAAGGTATGAGACAATCTTAGTGGGACGGACCGAAATGGTAAAATGGGACAATCATAGCGGGACGGAGGTAGTACAATTTTAGGGCCCCAAAATTTAAGATGTTTTTATAGTATACATATGTAGAGAACTTATCTGGTCAGGCGCGCCTGACCATAAATTTTTGAAACATACTGCACATTCTGATCATAAAGTTGTGGTGTGAATTGTGATTTTTTGTGTTAGAGACTTGAGAAGTAGTTTGTGATTGAATTTAACAGTTAACTATTAATCAATATTCATATACATACGTAGTATGAAATATGCTAACTATTAATAAGTATACATGTTTTTAGCTTTTAAACTTGTAAAGCCATTTATGATCTTGTATATATTATGAGACTTGAAGTCAGAGAGCTTTTGGCCGAAATTGAATTGGATATCAAGAATTGAAAACTTTTTTTTTATTTAAGTTGTTCCTTTTTTAGATATTTAAATATTAAATTTTGAACATGTCACATAATATAATATGGTGACAAGAATCAAGATTTTTTATTGAGCACATTATACTACAAAAATTACATGTACCGGCCTTTTTAGTAAGTTCGACTCAGACCCGAATTTAGGTAGGATCGACAATTCGACACTGGTTAAAGCTGCCGCATATTTCAATAATTCAGGTTTTGATGTGGTGATTCTTTATCAATAACCGTCCCGCTTTTATTAAACGGTTAAAAGTTCGTGACGGTGCTTAGGTAAGAATCGCCACCCATTTTGTTACAAAAATAAATTTTGAGGTGATTTTGGATACAAAATAACTGTAACGTTTAACAATCCAAGTCATTGCCTTTTGCGACGATTGAAACCAATCAAACCATAGCTCCTTAAAACCAATTGGTATCATTTTTTTTGAGCTAGTGCATCTTATGGTTACAAAAATGACTCGATTTATACAATAAACTTTAAATGTATAAACATAATGTCATTCATTAATGAACAAATTGTAACTTCATTTTCGAAGGCCAAATAGGGAGATAGAGTTATATAATGTGAAATACTATAGCATTTAGAATTATTTAGATTTGGAGTGTAGAACTATAGATGAA